TGCACCCTACTGAAACCCAAATTACTTTTTACAAATACTGCTTTGCTTACCCGCAACACTTTTAATTAATTAGCTTCAATTTATGTTTTTGTGTATAGGCTACTCAGGATAAATAGACTAAAACAGCACTTAATGGTCCTGTTTCTGTAAAAGCTCAAGATGGAAAGGTAATTTCTGCATAAAGCAGAAGCTTATTTATGTACTTGCTTTACATTGTTTTACTAATAATGCGATTATAATTGACATTCTCTGCATTTGGAAAGTACATACGTTCAGGTATCCAAACACACACACACACACGCTCACACGTAAAATTCCGGCAACCACAGCTGCCGGTTTTTTACCATAAATTTTACAGAATTTTTTTTACAGTGTACGTTTCCCCTTTCCACAGATGATTTACGTATGTACAACAACACATACGCAAATTGTAAGCGTGAATTAGTGTTTGAAATTCCGCTGCGAACTGTCAGTGGGCTCTAGAGTTTCCAACGCCATCAGAGCCATGATTAGCATTCATACTGGACGCGCTGCTGTGAAATATTACACAGGACCACACAGGTGTTGAGGGGTGGTAAACGCTGTTATGAAAGCACTGTATCAATAACAAACTATAGAACAGAACAGACCAGGCACACCCATAACCACGCATATACCGCTGCAAATCGAAGGTAAACCACACACAGTCTACATACACACAGACATACGCACATAAATATTTCCTGCAATGATCAGCGGTGCACCTTCGGGGAGAAACGGGTGTCATGGCAACAGGAGCAGGCCTCTGTAAGCGTTACTGTAGCAATCAGAGAGGAAAGGCAGCCAGGGGGTTGGCGTGAGAGGTGTCATTATAGACTGAGTGATTTGGAGGGGGTGTGGGGGGTGCGAGAGGCAGGAAACGATTAAATATTCAAGCAATAACGCAGCCAGAAGAAATTACCTTGCTTTCTGCTTCTGAACATCAGAAGTTTAAACCTTTAGCACGTCTGGAAATCAGAGCAGGAAGGGTGAAGGAATCTGTAGCGTGGTCACAACATCTACATGGAAGTAAGGTGTCTGTGATGAGGAAATTTGTCTAGAAAAAAAAAAAAATAATATTTTCTGACCAAAGAGCATTATTCTGAGTAAAACAGACTTTTAGCTCAAATATTTTGCAACCCAAAGAGAAAGCACTTCAAATCTCTTCATCCATTTAGCCTACAACAGCACCATAAACTGCAACGCGACTTCTCTTGTAAATGCTGTTGTTGTAAATGGGCTGCAGCCGGTTGCAGCAGTAATGACAGATTTTTTATTTAAAGACCGAGCCATAGTTTTAGTTAAGCAAGAAATTAGGCATTTTATTTTTTTTTCCGTTCTCTCTGCTGTACTGAAAACATACCAAACCGAGGACCGTAATTTTTGTGTACCATTACACCCCTAATAAACAGTTATATTTATTTTTAAAAAAAGCATAAATAACAGTAATCTTTTCAGCTAAACTGAATCATGGCGAACAAAATTCCCTAAATGAGGGAATGCTCACGCACATTTAACCCTTTAGACTGCTCTGTTGTACCAGATGCGATCCATTTCAGTTTGTGCATCGCTTTAATACCACGATTTCCACTAGAATACAGGCTGTTTTGTTCTAAAACCATAATAAATTAATATAGCATCTTCTTTGTTATATGAGGCTTTTAGAATCATTGTGTGATTTTATCTACTTTCCGGCAGTGGTGGATAATGGCATGTTATTTTAGTTGCATTGTAGTAACTCTAACTGTAGCAAATGTGGTGTTTGTGCAGAAACTAGGGTTGCCATGGTAATGTTTTATAGTAAGGGATGAACAAAGCTCTACATGTGTTCAGGCCGAGAAAATGTCGCTTAAAGGTACACTAATGTATACCTTCCGTTCCAGCTATCTATTTTGCACCTTGATTTTGATGGACACACATTATCAGCACTTATGTGCTTCCTGCACACCCACATAGCCCTCACTGAGTCACACACACACACACACACAGATGATTTACGTATGTACAACAACACATACGCAAATTGTAAGCGTGAATTAGTGTTTGAAATTCCGCTGCGAACTGTCAGTGGGCTCTAGAGTTTCCAACGCCATCAGAGCCATGATTAGCATTCATACTGGACGCGCTGCTGTGAAATATTACACAGGACCACACAGGTGTTGAGGGGTGGTAAACGCTGTTATGAAAGCACTGTATCAATAACAAACTATAGAACAGAACAGACCAGGCACACCCATAACCACGCATATACCGCTGCAAATCGAAGGTAAACCACACACAGTCTACATACACACAGACATACGCACATAAATATTTCCTGCAATGATCAGCGGTGCACCTTCGGGGAGAAACGGGTGTCATGGCAACAGGAGCAGGCCTCTGTAAGCGTTACTGTAGCAATCAGAGAGGAAAGGCAGCCAGGGGGTTGGCGTGAGAGGTGTCATTATAGACTGAGTGATTTGGAGGGGGTGTGGGGGGTGCGAGAGGCAGGAAACGATTAAATATTCAAGCAATAACGCAGCCAGAAGAAATTACCTTGCTTTCTGCTTCTGAACATCAGAAGTTTAAACCTTTAGCACGTCTGGAAATCAGAGCAGGAAGGGTGAAGGAATCTGTAGCGTGGTCACAACATCTACATGGAAGTAAGGTGTCTGTGATGAGGAAATTTGTCTAGAAAAAAAAAAAAATAATATTTTCTGACCAAAGAGCATTATTCTGAGTAAAACAGACTTTTAGCTCAAATATTTTGCAACCCAAAGAGAAAGCACTTCAAATCTCTTCATCCATTTAGCCTACAACAGCACCATAAACTGCAACGCGACTTCTCTTGTAAATGCTGTTGTTGTAAATGGGCTGCAGCCGGTTGCAGCAGTAATGACAGATTTTTTATTTAAAGACCGAGCCATAGTTTTAGTTAAGCAAGAAATTAGGCATTTTATTTTTTTTTCCGTTCTCTCTGCTGTACTGAAAACATACCAAACCGAGGACCGTAATTTTTGTGTACCATTACACCCCTAATAAACAGTTATATTTATTTTTAAAAAAAGCATAAATAACAGTAATCTTTTCAGCTAAACTGAATCATGGCGAACAAAATTCCCTAAATGAGGGAATGCTCACGCACATTTAACCCTTTAGACTGCTCTGTTGTACCAGATGCGATCCATTTCAGTTTGTGCATCGCTTTAATACCACGATTTCCACTAGAATACAGGCTGTTTTGTTCTAAAACCATAATAAATTAATATAGCATCTTCTTTGTTATATGAGGCTTTTAGAATCATTGTGTGATTTTATCTACTTTCCGGCAGTGGTGGATAATGGCATGTTATTTTAGTTGCATTGTAGTAACTCTAACTGTAGCAAATGTGGTGTTTGTGCAGAAACTAGGGTTGCCATGGTAATGTTTTATAGTAAGGGATGAACAAAGCTCTACATGTGTTCAGGCCGAGAAAATGTCGCTTAAAGGTACACTAATGTATACCTTCCGTTCCAGCTATCTATTTTGCACCTTGATTTTGATGGACACACATTATCAGCACTTATGTGCTTCCTGCACACCCACATAGCCCTCACTGAGTCACACACACACACACACGCACGCACGCACGCACACACACACACACACACACACACACTAGAACAGCTACATTTTAGACCAGATAGTATGTTAGAGCCATCTGGTGGACAGTATAATTATCCAACTGTTCTGTGTTCTGATGAGTTATTTATTGTCTTGCTTATTTAGCCAGTGTACAGCTTTGGAATGCATTCATTTGACCCTTGAAGATGACTAATATTTTAAAAAGCAGTATTTCATAATTGGTGTTGAAGTAATGATCTGTTATATAGTCAATGATTAATACCCACCTGACCCATTTTACCTCATCATAGCACTTTCCAGAAATAGTGTACACTTTGGTGTCAGTGACCCGTTTTAAAATAATTAGATGCATTTTTTGTGAGAACCATTAGATAACTATAATCTAATATACAGTTAACCTAGCATGTAAAGTAGCTAGCTAAATGTCTGATATAGCAAATCATTTTGCCTGTTCTGTATCAGAGGTCTGGACGTTCTTGACTATATACAACATTTAAAGAAATTGTTCATCCAATAATGAAAATTTGCTGAAAATATGGTAGCCATCCATGATGCAGATAAATTAGTTTTTTCATCGGAACAGATTTGGAGAAATTTAGCATTATATCACTTGCTCACTAATGGATCTTCTGCAGTGAATGGGTGCCGTCAGAGTCCAAACAGCTGATAAAAACACCACAATAGTCCACAAGTAATCCACACAAATCTTTTAACTTAAAAATGCCACTTCTGGCCAAAATACCAGCCCATAATCCATCCCCAATAATCTGTTTTTATCAGCTGTTTGGACTCTCAATTCTGACAGCAAAGGATCCATTGGTGAGCAAGTGTAGTAATGTTAAATTTCTCCAAATCTGTTCTGATGAGGAAACAAACCTCATCAGAACAGATGTGAGTAGACGCGTGAGTACATTTACAGCAAATTTTTATTTTTGGGTATACTATTTTTTAATGTCATACATACATTAATATTTTCACATAATTTATTAAATGAATATTCAGTTTTTTGTAAAGTAAGAAAATATTTTATTATTATGCTTTTACCAGAAAAGTTATATTATGCTGCATCCAACATTCTGTGAGCAATCCTGTTATGGATGATTTTCCCCATTACAAAAAAGGTAACAACTTGTGTGAAACCCAAGAAGGAACTTTATATTTGGATACTTTCCAAACCATTATCATTCAATTATTTTTATATTTTTACAAAAATTGTTGTATTGAATGAATGAATACATATTTAATTTATGGGAAACATAATATTATCAATAACTGCAAACCATCCCATAATAATAAATCTGTGTGAGAGTTAAAAGGACTGTCACCAGTCCGTTTCCACAGTCTGACCTCTCTGCCAGTAACCGGTTAAAAGTTGTATAATAAAGGACTCCCACAATGCACTGCATCGTGTCAACTGACAGTGTGCGGAGTGTTGTATACTGACCTAGGATTTCTCGCGACCCGGGGGAGCTTGATCATTTATACCACGCGTGTAATTATAGCGTTGGACGCTCGCGTTGAGCTCGTGCACACCATGAGCGGTATGAGGACCGTCCTGGCCTCGATCGGGGTGTTTGGGCTTGTCGGTGTGGGCTACGGCATGTGGGCCATCATTTCACCTGGAGAGGACAGGAAAAGGGAAATATTAAAGGTACTGAAACATTGCAATTTTAATGAGCAACATAAACCTATTTGATTAACTTGCATAATCGTGGGGTGTTGCTTTCACGACTGTTGGCAAGTACTAACGATTGTTTGTAAACAGTCAGTTTCATAATAAACGTGGTCGTGCAGGGTTTTACACGATCTCTTATTAACTGTGGGGGGTAACGAATTAAATGAAATGGGATCGTGTTTTATTACACACTGATTGTGATATTTACTCCCTCTGGTCACTTCTAGCTTCCTGATTAATAGCAGTGAGAGAACTACATTAGTTGTTGTTGGATGCAGTTGACAAGGATCACCACAGTATCGCGTTGTTTTTATCCCCATGGATCACACATCTGTGTAGAATATTATACAAATAATATGATGTTTTTACATTGCAGCAAATATTATAATGTAAAGTTTTAAACAACTGATTAGAGTTGTGTCCTGATCCATCTCTTCATCTAATTTTCCAGAATCTGCCAGAGGCCAACCCCGTCCGAATGGAGGAGACCAGAAAGAGAAATGCCCTCATGCTTCAAGTTTTAAAGGATGCTGCAGAGACGAATGATAACATTGCACGTGGATATGGTGGCCAGAAATGAAGGAATCTGTTTGCACAAATATCAGACTTTCACATGCCATTAGCAATCTGCACATGCCTGGGAGTTTAAATATGAAGCCAGTGACTTGTTTAAAAATAAATGATCTGCAAATGCTCCATGTCATCACTTGATGGACACTGTTGGGCGCGTTCTGTAAGATTTGCTTTGTGTTTTCCTTGCTGGAAAATTAATCTTGAAATAGTAGCTGTGTTGCGGACCAGTTTCCAAAAGAAAGAAAAAAGATGCCATGACCTGCATGACCACATTGTTTATATATTTATATAAATGTTTATGGAGTATCGCAAATAAAACTTTAAACGTGTTTTGTGCGCTTTACTAATACATAGCAATTTTCTAATAAAGTATACCTTCTGTTATCGCGTCTGCGCAATATTTGCACAGCCATGACTTGCACGAATGCAAAAACATCACTAACGCTAAACGCTTCCGGTGTTTAGGTCATTGTGACCCGATATTTCTTACACAGCGAGTCGTAAATCGATCATAGCGATGGAGTTATTGGACAGCTTTCTGTATGGACGTTAATAATGTTACCAAATTATTTGGAAATTTGACAGCATCACTTGTTAGAAACACCAGAGACCAGTACAAAGGAGCTTGGATATTAAACACTTCAACCTGAACATGTCAAATCCACCGCCTCTACTGGAGCAGCCGAGTCCGGTGACTCCGGTCACACCGCAGGCGACTGAGAAACCGCTGTTTGGGGACTGCTGGAGCTGTCGAGTCCTTTCGGGCGGAGGGCTGCTGGTTTCAGGGGGATATGTGGGCATGCATGCGCGTAGAGTCATACGTCTAGGCGGACCCGCATCTATGGG